TCTATACATAGTTTTTAAACGTTTATTTCGGATAAACTATAGATTCGTTTAGGCTATCTGGACTCAGTAACTAAGTGGGAAACGTGGTGGTATTCGAAGCAATCTGTACTGGGTTTGGGTGCGGGAGTGTTACGCATATACGTAAACATGTCTTAGTCGGAAAACGAGAGCGAGGATCCAGAGACACGATATGCTACTCTAATTCGAGTGTCCCAACCCCCACTGAATAAAAGAAGACTTGAAGTAGAACATGTATTCTACAAGCATCCAGAAAGTATGATGTCTGAGTTCAGAAGAAGACGGATCCGGGTCATAAAACGTTACAGATAATGCGTATTTATACATTTGGGTCGAATAGGAAACAGCATCGAAGTCTGTGACAATGACAGTCAAGGCGACCAATAGGAAGAAACATCTGAAGTGACACTGATAGTCAGAGCGACCATAATATTGACCGATCGGAGTCGATCAATAGAATTTACACTCACAAAATGATTTTTCGTAGGATATTTGGTGAATATCCTAACAGAGAGTGAACATCAACTCGTGGATGCAGGTATATCCAGCTGACGAGTCCCAGTAGAGAGAGACTTAACGCACGTCCTCAATTCCAATGCTAGCCACATTCTATTTATTCTCTGTAGATTGTTTTATGTAATAACAGATAAATCGTGAAGTAATTTTCTTTCCTGAACTGTAAACTATCGATTGGTTTCATAACAACTAATTTGTAACTTCTTTCAGCAGTACACTTAAAAGACTGACTTAAAGGCGTAAGCAAGCAATCAATTGTCATATGATCAGTGAAATACTTAAAGCATTAAGTTCTATTTATCTTGAATTCTAAAAACCTAATTCTGGATTATCTATCTATCATATGTTGTCTACCTAAGTAGAGAAATTAAAGGTTATCTACACACGAATCACGTGAATGCAATCATAATGTATTCCGTTTTCAATTCTACACAAAAGTAGTATCTTTTATTGATTAATTCACTTGTTCCTATTAATTTATTGATTTAATAAATTCTAACTCTAATATCCTTGTGATCTGTTCGGTCACCTTGGATTTATCAACTTCTTGATTTTATTATAATTTACATCACAAACTGAACTTAGACAACCAAAGCATCCACAAACTGATCGTTGGATGGCGCTATACAGTCTAATTGTCTTCATGAAGCCTGTATACTTCTCTATTGTTTATTATGTTCATAGCATGTATGAAATATTGATGTCAATGTAGAATTTGTTGCATACCAGAACTATATTCATTAAAATTCAACAGATTTGTAAATAATAATTACTAATTAATGAGGGGATTCTCTCTCGATCGCTTTATTGTATCAGAGGTGAGATGTAAGCTTCTGAAAGGCCTAATTGACCAAACGACAGATATTTACATAATCAAGTGCACATTTGCTTCTTGATTCGGTTAGCCAATAAATTTGTTTATTTACTCCTTGCGTTTTTTTCCTCTCGAGTAGCCGAGCTTGTATAGAAAGAGAATGTGTATCAGTTTCAGCTGTCGAGCACCGAGTCAGTCAGTCAGCTACAATGTAGAACTTCGTACACACGTACATCAGTTCAAGTTTCCATACTACATTATTCTCAATTCGAATCCCACAGTAGTAGAAGTATTAGCGGTAATGTGGAAGATTAGTGAAGTAAATTTAAAAAGCGAAAATACAGTTATGAGGAATTCAGATTAGAATTTGAGAGAACATAAAGAACGAATGCACCTGACTGTAGCTATTACCTAGACATGATGGGCTAGCTTGCCCATCATGATGACCCAACCAAGCTATATTAGCTGGAACATATATTCCTGTAGGTTCTATTACGCCAGATAATTCCATTACAGAATGGTGAGACTAAAAGCAGCAACTCAAGGTCTGAAAACGAAGTACCACTGAATGTAGAGGGGTATGGTAGCAGTACGGTGTCTTGCTCAAACAACCAGCATCTACAGCTGTGCTGCCTTCTCACAAAGAAGGGAGGGGTTAGAAAAGGTCGACCCTAAAAATGTCACATCTTACCTCACCTCAAGGATTTTCGTCTCCGGCGGTAAGGCCACTCGAAGAACGTAGCTAACACTTTATAAACTGGAGCCCCGCGTGTAACAACAGCACTCACAACTTAGCCAATAATTGATTCTTGCACGTTCAAGTTTCGTGACAAGACAAATTTAGGATAACTGAACTGAAGTCCTGAATAAAACAACGCTTCTTCATGCTTACCAAATTTTAAGAGTTCCCAGTAGATATTATTAGTCCATGAATATCAACTTCTATAATGTTTACCGGTTCTTTAAACTTAATATCTTCAAAATAATAAAATCAGTTAAAATAGGTGGTGAAAATACTTTGTAGTAGTGTTATAATTTAACAAGTGCGCTCACAATTAGATCAATTCTTCTAGATGTAAGTGTACTACTAAATAGTCATTAGAATGTTGAAACACTCTATACTGACTGATTGTTTGAATGACCTCAACCAATTTGGTTTTTCATTTAAAAATTCTATTTTTCTGTAACAATAAACCCAATAACATTTTTTAGAATTTTTAACATTTGCACTAATCTTTTGTAAAATGTGATTCATTGTTCTCACTATAATTTTGCATACTTTCTATATTTCCAAGGTCACGTTTGTGACGATAAGTACATCATTGTTCTACTTCATTTCTGAATGCGTTGATCATCAGGGTTTCTTTTTTCTGTGCATCTAACCTCTGGTTATGTTTTATCACACTAGAGAATTTTCGGGGTAGAGTTTTGGAAGTTTGTGTTTTTTGCACATTTGAAATCATCAATCAATCATTGTTAGACCATCATTAGAAATCTGGAAACACTGAAAGGTCGTTTCGTCCTGGTATGGGACTCAACAGCAATCCGCATCCACGACTCCTGCTCCTCGCAGGATTCGAACCCGGAACCTTCATTAGTGTTCACGAACGCCTAACCATTGGACCACTGGGCCGGCATCCGACGGTGTTAATGTCTAAATCTGATTGATCTAGGGATTTTGCGCGACCTCATCCATTTGTCTTTGGTAGTTACTGCCTACACTCGTCAGGGTTGAACTCCATTGGTCAAGTCTTCTCAACTAGAATTTCGAGAATTTCCTCACGAAGCTAGTCACTAGTGAGCACTGTTACGATATTTCGGGGCAGAGTTTTTGTAAAATATACGTAAGTCTTTCGGTCTATCTAGAGCGCATAAGACTCCATTTGAATTAGAAAAATCGCAATCGTTCAAATCCAGACATAATCATAAGCTCGATCATTTCAAGAACTTAACAGTAATCAGCTACACATGTCTCTCGTAAGTCCACACAGATTTCCTACTCACAAATTCAACTGATGAATGTTGTAAGAATGATATCATTTTTCAAAATAACTTTTTTCACACTATGTTTGTGGAGATTGTTGAGTCTCATTGAAATCATGAATCGATCAATGTTAGATAACGATTAGAAACCTGGAATTACTAGATAGCCGTTTAACCCTACTCGTGTGAATCAAACCCAGTACCTTCGGCCTCGTGCCCGAATGCTTGATCTTCAGACCACTGCTGGGCCGGCATCCAACTGTGCTAATTGTGTAACTTTGATGAATCCACGAGCTTGTGCAAACTCAACAATGTCTACAAGCTTATAATGAAAACTATCATGAGTTCATTATTGAATAGGTCCGTGAAGAAATTTTTTCGAGTACTAGTTAAAAGTCGTGACTAGTAGAAGCAGTGACTACAGAAGACAACAGATAAGGTTGAGCAAGATCTTGGATTGATTGAAGTTAGACATTAAAACCGTTAGATTTGGGCCCAGTGATATGAAAGTTAAGCGAAACCGAAGGTCCTGGGTTTGATTCCCATGATGCGCACTTCTGGTGAGTCCCATACTAGGTTGAAACGATAGTACAGTACCTACATATTTCCAATAGTATTCCAACATTGATTTCAATGAAAATAATATTTGTCAATTCTAACCAACTTGCGAATGAAGCGAACAATAAATCTGTTTATTACTGGATTAATACTACTAGATTGAGTGATCGTGTAGACATTTCTTAATAAACACATCCCGGTACAACTACTGAACAATTTGATTGTGATCAATATGGTCTCGTGTGTTTTTATGGGTATGAGGGATGGGTGTTACTTCCCGGCTGCCCACACCCTGTAAAAGTTATGGTTGTCAAAAGGGGCATCGGCCTTACAACTTCCAAAGGAACTCGGCTTTCATCACGAGACATCATAATTCTTCTAACTGAAGACCTTCTAACTCTCAGAGTAGAGTTTATATGGTTTAAATAATTTTTTCTTGTTAGCGTTCTTTTGCGGCAAGTGAGTTTTTTTCCGGGATCGGATCGCCAACCCACATCTCAACTCTCCTCTTTTATCCAGGCTTGGAACTGGCAGTAACCCTGAAGGGTCTACACGCGAAACATGAAAAACAAGTAGGCATCACACAAATAAAATGATAATCATATTATGAAGTAATATAAACAAAGGGAATAGGGAATACAATTGACAAAACTGAACACAACAATGACAGTAATAGTTTCGATTTAAATAAAAAAGTACAACTCATATTTCTAAGAAGAATATTTCTAGTTAAATTCAATGTTGAAGGTATTTTTTCTTGTCACTCTAATTTACTAATGCCTTCTTAAGTAATTCATCATCATCGTTGATGAATAGATTTTGAGTGTGTTGTTATCTAAATTCTAATCGAAATCTAAGCATAAATTTATTAATATGATTGGGAAATAAATTAAGTTTTGCACTGGATTATGTTAATCTTGGGTCATAAAACGTTTACAGATAATGCATATTTATACAGTTGGGTTGAATAGGAAACAACATTCAAAGCATGTGACATTGATAGTTAAGACGACCAATAGGAATTCAGCAATAGGAATTGGCCAATAGAATTAAACTTACAAAAAAGAATTCTCTTACAGTATTGGATAAATAACAGAACAGAAGAAAAGCTGAAAAGTTATTCTCAATCGATCAATTTTATATATTATTAACATATTTTACAGTGAAGTGATACTACTACTACTGTAAATCTGAACAAGAAGAAGAATAAAAATAAAGAAGCACTTTTTGATACTTGATTATTATTTTATTTCCTCACTTCCGCCATATTGAATTTGAATATGAGTCAGTTGATAATGAAATAATATTTTTTATCAATCATTACTGTTGTTATCTTATTGATAAATTGAACCATGGACTAAGGATGGATTTGGTCCATGAACAAGTAAAGGATTTGGACCGTGTGGAATTATACGAGAAGTGAGTAGTAAGTTAGGATTTGCACCAACAGGTTGATATCGATGCGATTTTTCAGTTGAACAAACAAATAAATCGATGATTTTATTTGTGTTTATAGATGATACATTAATCTAAAATAAAAATCAATTAAAAACATAAAGAACGACGATAAGGAGAAATTACAAAATATGTGTATTTTGCAGATTATGTAACGAAGTGATCTTAGATAATTATGCAAAAAAGAAATCAGGAAATATTGAACAACTGATTTGTTTTAATATGGGACTCGGCAGTGCGTATCCACCGATTAAACCTAAGACATTCAGGTTTTAGACCTTTGAGTCGATATTCAGTAGTTTACATTTACAGTGTAAAACTATTTATGGTATGGAACAGTGATCTCTCAATCTCACTCCATCGCACCCATGTTTGAACCACACAGGTCACAGAAGACAGTTGCTTGATAATGCCAACAAACTGAGTTTACAAAAAAAAATCACCGGGTACTGATTCAGTGTTATGAAGAGTAGGTACTGTCTGAGAGACTTGGCCGCGAGTCTACCACAAGTAGTGGGGTCGTATATGTGCACAGCTGCCCAACTGTCATCTATCTACAGTCAGTTCATAGTGTAAAACTATGAGATCTAACAATTTCTACAAATCCTCTCTGCTAATAATTACATACTAATAAAAATAACTGTTACTTTTTTACAAGTAAAATAACTGAACACTTTGATTCAATCACTATGAAGAGACCTTGATAGTTATTTCAGAAAATAAAAGAAATAAAGCTTTACCAGAACGTTTGTTTTCAATTTGGGATTCAGTAATAAAAGAGCTCCAAGGACGGTGTATTAATGTCTAAGTACAAGATGATAGTTCAGTAATTTTAGTTACATAACGTCAACCAAAGGTCAAGTCTGCTGAGCAGTAGTTCGCTCCGTTCTACAATATGGCTGCAAAACATGGATAGTCAGAGTAGAATATATTCGTAGGTTACTGGTTTTTGATCAGAGATACCTCCGAAGCATTGCTCGTGTATCCTGAGACAATCGAGTGAGCGATGCTATCGTTAGGAAACGAGTCTTAGGTAAAGATGGAAGATCAACAGATGAAGTGTTGAAACTTTATCAGTTGAGGTGGTTGGGACATGTGTTACGTATGCCTAACCACCGACTGCCTCGACGAACTATGTTTTTTAGCGTAGGAGTCGGCTTTAGGAAAGCTAGTGGCGGCCAAACCAAAACATACAGAAATCCATGAAGTCATTGACAAGTGGATTGAGTCATGTTGGTAGATGAAGGCTACGTGGTTGGGGTCCACGGTACAAAAGTCACCGATGGTTAGAGACCTTGAACGATATGGCTCAAAATCGTTTGCAATGGTGCAGGTACATTCATTCTTTGTGTTCTCTCAAATTCTAATCTGAATTCATCATAATCTCTATCTTTCTCTTTCTAAATTTATCTCACTGAATTATACTTCTCGAATCATTTCTTCGCTCCCTAATCTTTTCCATTACTGCTAATACTTTTGCTATCGCTATCACTACTGGATTTGAACTGAAAGTTGTGTCTCTGTGTTACTGTGGTATGGCAACTTGAACTGATGTAATTACGTACGTTTGAAGTTCTACGTTGTAACTGACTGGCTGACTGACATAACATCAACTGACTGGAAGAAATTTACATTGTTCATATTCACCTTTGTTGTTCGACGGAGGAAAAAACTGATGAAGCTCAGACGACCTTAGAAACAGACCAACGTAATCTTGAGAAAACACGATCAATTACTAGAACCAAAAGAAAACGGTTCTACATTTGCTTGAGAAATTAGAATTGAGTCATAGAATTACAATAATTTAAGTTAAGAAATAAGCGTTAATGTCTTTCATCACGAACTGACATTAGTTATAATTTTGAATTCGGTGTTTAGTCTATTGCATAAATGGATTTCGTGCCATATTCTAGGACTCATTATCTACAATCTGATTGGTTTGTTCATAAATTGTAGCCTCGTCAATCATTGATTGGATAATTTTTTTTCTGATTGTAAAATAAATGAAAGATCATTTAATTTCTTACAGCTTTCACGCATATTTTGTTTTAATAAAAATCTACTTGTGATTAAATGAACAAGCAACAATAGACAGACAGACAGACAGATACAACGCATAACTTCGTACATAAGTACATCAGTTCAGGTTGCCATGCCACATCAGCACAGAGACACAAACTGTCAGTTCAAATTCAAGAGTGATAGCGATAGTAGAATCATTAGCAGTAATAGAGAAGATTAGGCAGCGAAGATATGATTCGAAAAGTATAATTCAGTAAAATAAATTTAGAAGGAGAAAGACAGGGATCAGGAGGAATTCAGAAGGTTAGAATTTCATAGAAAAAGTGCCAACATTATTATTATTATTATTATTATTATTATTATTATTATTACACCTTCATTATTTACCCCACATTGTCCAAGCAAAAAGCTTCTTTAAAAAATTCTTATGTAAAAATCTATTATAGACTTAAGAATAATAATCTGAATGGTAAACAAGTTTTTTTTTCAATCACATTGTATAGTACAATGTGAAGTCAGTTAGTTATAATCAACATAGAGTCTATGTAAGATTTAATTTGTCCTACAGATGTAATTCTAAAACAGTAAACGCAATATTGGCGAGGACAGAGTCTATGAGAAAGCTATAGATAGTCAGAACAAGATCAACTTTTGCTTTAAACTTTATCTGTTTCTAAACATAAAAACAATTAGATTAGTACAATTGTCAATTATCAAGTAAGACGAGCAAACATACCGACCAATATAGCGTGTCTTATGTAAAAGAATAAAACTATGAATCATATCAATATAATAAGATAATAATGTCAATCAATTTGTAGGTCATTTACAATAAAGATAGGTTTACAGACACGTCAAGGTCAGATCACGTGATGGACGCTTAAATCACAATTTGATTGGTTAGTTATGGCACAACTACAACAACTACAAAATTCTCCGATGCAACACAACATGCACCAACCAAATCACTGTTGATGGAGATGCCTTGGAGGACGTTAACACCTTTACATATCTGGGCAGCATCATCGACGAGAAAGGTGAATCCGATACAGATGTGAGGGCGCAGATTGGCAAAGCAAGGGCTGCATTTCTACAGTTGAAAAATATCTGGAACTCCAAACAACTTTCAACCAAAAACCAAAATCACGATTTTCAATACAAATGTCAAGACAGTTCTACTGTATGGAGCGGAAACATGGAGAATTACCAAAGCCATCATCCAGAAGATACAAGTGTTTATTAACAGTTGTCTACGCAAAATACTTCAGATCTGTTGGCCAGACACCGTCAGCACCAACGTACTGTGGGAGAGAACAAACCAGATTCCAGTGGAGGAGGAAATCAGGAAGAAGCGGTGGAAGTGGATAGGAGACACACTACGAGAAGCAGACAACTGCATCACGAGACAAGCCCTCACATGGAACCCTCAAAGCAAAGGGAAAAGAGGAAGGCCAATAAAAACACATTACGCCGAGAAATAAAGAAAGATATGAGAGGAATGAACAAACATTGGACAGAATTGGAAAGGGAAGCCCAGGACAGAGTTGGTTGGAGAAAACTGGTGGGCGGCCTATGCTTCATTGGGGGTAACAGGCGTAAGTAAGTAAGTAAGTAAGTACAATTAGTTACGGAAATAACTAACACTCTATGAAACAAAGATAACATTAGCACAATGAAATGAAATCGACAAGGCAAATAATCAAAATATGTCAATATGAATTGTAATGATAATCATAGCGAGAAAAAAGATTTCTATTTTTTAGAAAAAAATACTGTGAATATCTAGAGTTCAAGGGCATGGAGGTAGAAAAAGATTTTTTGTATAATGAGATAATGAATGACACACACTGATACTACTATATTTAACTGATGATTGATTCTAGGGCCATATTGTTAAACATTATGAACTATAGATCGTACGTACAGATTCTCTAATCAAGTAAGTTTGTATTAAATCAGCAATTAATTTCTTCAAGGTTTGTAAATTACAATCACCATGATGGTTTCAAGCTAAAGTAGACAAAGTATAATGCTCAGATTGAATTTTTTATTTGCTCAACTACACATTACACTCAGTGCCAATTGTGCATACGTAAATAATAGTAAAGCTACTATGTATAGTCAGTCTAATCTAATAGTTTAAAATTTGTAGGTTGTATTTGTCATAGAGTGATCTGTCTTATGGTTACGATATCATTGTGTTATAATTCTCTCTGTATTTTACAACCAAGCTATTATTCCCTAATGCTCTTAGTATTCTCTGACATCAATTTAACTCGAGACATTCTCCCAAAATCAGAACATGGTTGAATAGGAAATGTGTAAAAACACAAAGCTCCAAAACTCTGCCTGAAAATATCGTAACAGTGCTCACTAGTGACTAGCTTCGTGAGGAAATTCTCGGAGTTCTAGTTGAGAAGACGTGACCAATGGAGTTCAACCCTGTCAGGTGTAGGCAGTAACTACCAAAGACAAATGGGTGAGGTCGCGCAAAATTCCGTAGATCAATCAGAGTTAGACATTAACACCGTCGGATGCCGGCCCAGTGGTCCGATGGTTAGGCGTTCGCGCACAATACCGAAGGTCCCGGGTTCGAATCCTGCGGGGTGCAGGAGTCGTGGATGCGCACTACTGATGAGTCCCATACCAGGACGAAACGGCAGTCCAATGCTTCCAGGTTTCTAATGGTGTGGTCTAACAATGATTGATTGATGATTTCAAATGTGTAAAAACACAAACCTCCAAAAACTCTGCCCCAGAAATAGATTATATTCCAATAGCAAGGTTAGATAGAAGACCGAAGGTCCAAAGGAACAAGACCTTAGTATATTTATAGTTTTCTTACATGATATGATTCTCGAATATTCCCTCAGTATCGACTAGCGCTGATTGGATGTGAAAGAGCCAATCAGCATGCAGCGAAGCAATCATGCTTTAATCCAATCTATGTCCCCACTAACACAGTGAAAACTAGAAAGGACTGAAAAGATATTTCGTTCTAGTAAGAGTCTCCACAGAAGTACAATACTACAATCTTGCTAAGAAACTAATTCAAAACATTCGGGTTTTAGGGAGAACGCTCAATAATTAATATCCCCCGAGGAAATACAGCACTAAAAACATCATGAAGTGTATTTTCCTGTAACAAAATGTATTTCTCTCTGAACTGATTAATAGATAATAACATTATAAACATTATTCAACACTCACCGATGATGATTGCCGTTCAACTGATGATGTTACACCACTTTGCAATGGATTATTATTAGTAGGAGAATTGGTATCAAGATGTTTTTCTAGCGATAACCTGCTTAAAATTAATCAATATTTGGATAGAAGAAATGTGTAAAACAACACAGGAAATTAAATAAAACATCCAAAAAAAAGAGATAAAAAGATTTTTAGCAAAAAACAAACATAACAGAACAGATTGTATACTATAGATAGAACGTGGTTACGCAGCGGAATTCAAGACGCGCGTTTTGTCCTGTTTGGAACTAGTCAGCTAGATGTATCTGCATATCTAAAAGTTGATATTCACTACGGGACTCGAACCCAGTACTCCTTGTTACAAACGTCATCGTGTTATCCACCTAGCTACTGAGTTCAGATAGACATAATGACTATAACAAGGTAATCCGCATAGGATACCCATATGCCGACAAGGACTGATCAAATTACAGTCAAAATATCAACAACCAGATAGTCAAAACTATTCCAAATTGAATTATAACAAAATAGAGTTTTCTGGCTACTACTTTCAATGTAATGTTGAGTTAGTTAAAACTAGTAGTAATAGTGGTCTAACAATGATTGATTAATGATAGAATTTATTTAGAACTGAAAGATTAGACAAGTATAACACTGGTTACTATTCATTGATTAGTAAACTTTTAAGCACTAAGTTGCAAGTTCAAAGCCGTTCTAGCTACTGAGTTGTATCACTCTAACGTTCGGACATACAGTCTAGTTTGAAGCGTAGAAAATGAATATATACCTGACCAATGAGTTAATAATATATATGTGAAGTGAAACTTTCAAGACACCATTTTAAAATTGATCGTATTTATTGGTCATATTGTGGTGCACGCTACTTATAAGTAGTATATGACGTGAGTGTAAACGTGGTATACTCACGGCCAAGTCTCTCAGTCAGTACCTACTCTTCATAACACTGAATCACAGACTACTGATCCGGTGATTTATTTTTCTAAACTCAGTTTGTTGGCATTATCAAGTAACTGTCTTCTGTGACCTGTGTGGTTCAAACATGGGTGCGAGGGAGTGAGATTAAGAGATCACTGTTCAACACCATTGTGGTGCGCGCTACTTATAAGTAGTATATGACGCGAGTAAAAACGTAATGTCTGGCAACAGAAGATGGGGGAAGATCAAGAAAGGAAGAGTGGAAACACAATAGAATTTGTATGAAACAACGCATGAATAGTGAAATGTCAAACAATGGATTGATGATGGATTGAAGATTTGCAAATTAACCGTTTACGATATGGTTTTCCTATTTTACCGAGTAACTCTGTAATTTTCGTTAAATACAATTCGGTTGCCCTCACTTGTGTTCTCCTTCACTACAATTTCAATCTATCAACAATCTTTTTTTCTATTTGGTTATTTTGTCTTTGTAAAGATGTAGTAGT